TCGCTCCATTTTTTTTCATTTTGAATTCATCAACGTCAGTAGTGGTGTGGGAAATTGGTGCCATGGGACTCGTCAGTGAGGACGAAATACACAAGAAAATGTCAGGAATGCCTCTAATAAGACCACTCTCGCTCTAAGAAAGGACAAAAAAGCTGACTAAAAGCCCTCGTCCAACCTGCTGATTCCTTTATAATAAACCCTGCGACCCATTTTCATTTCAAAACAGTTTCCATTTCATGCTCTTGTCTGAATGACTCGTTTTTCGCTAAAAGGCGGAGCCTGGAGGTGGAGTAACTGGCGAATGGGAGGTGTGATTGGAGCAAAGTTGCGGTGTGGCACCCTTACATTGCATCTTTCCATCTTGAAACTGGTTGAAGATTGTATATTGACCACACTATTTTTCCCCTGCAATCTTTTGCGTTCCCATAGGTTGTCGCAGACCATACCTTTATTGTAAGACGGTATCAGTTCTTCAGAAGTATGTATGGGACAGTTGATAGTATCAATGGGTGTTACTAGTTACCGTCACATAGACAAGTTCCTTTAGGTGATTTCTGACTTTGACTACACCTTATCAAGATACGAAGATAGCCTTGGAAGACGATGTTGGACCACCCACGGCGTGTTCGACAACTGTTCAAAACAGGTTGATCCGGAATTGTCCTTGAAGGTAATGCATTTTTTCGGTCATTCATTCATTACAATGTAGATTTTTTTGAAGAATGGCCTTGTTTCAGTTGCAACGTCTAAAGGAAAAATATTTCCCGGTTGAATTCGATCCAAAACTCACACTCGAACAAAAAGTACCTTACATGGAAGAATGGTATGTTTCATTTCGTTCTAACAGATTATTTCATTAGTGTAGAGACACAAAAAGAGACAATGAAACTGCGACGAAATTCTTTCGTTCTCCAATGAAGCATGAAAGGTGGAAAAAAGACTCCGTAATTAGCCCTGGTCGCGCCTTACAAGATGCGCCACGACTTCTCACTCTTCTAGGGATTGTAGAATCGTTCAAAGCAGCTCCCACGAGTGCCTATTCATGCATATATGACAACTGACGTTCTTGTGCCAAATCTGTTCTGAGAGCGCTTTCTTCCTTCTAACTCCGTGTTCGGCTTCCATCTAGAGCGTAAGCATCAGGAAAAAGGGTCCGTCTTGCGGCATATGCTGGAATTTCCTTAGCGCAAATCCGCCACCGAACAAACCCATCCGTAGAGAATGAAGAACATGCGGACCCGAGTCTACTTCAAAATAGCGCGACACCCACCCTGCTGTTGTGAAAACTCGAGAGTAATGGCTCATTGCCCGTGGCTCCAGCCATGTTCGCTGATTCTGCGCGATCTCCTTCCCTTAGAATAGCTAGTTTGGTTGAGTAGTGCGCAGTCATGGCATGCC